TGATATACCTGCTCTCAGTGGCTTGTTCTGCTCCCAGGCCAAGCCGGCCCCCCAGGTGTACGATTCCAGCAGACACTTAACCTTTTTTACAGTGTCATCAGGCTAAAAGGAATCTAATAGTGACACAGGACTTGTGCTCAGCACTCTGCCACTATTGCTTTCCTGTCACAAATAATTTATAGCCTTCTATTTCCATCCCTGAGCCCTGCACCCCAGCCCACCTCCCGCTTCCCCCCCGGCGCCCGGGAATCAATAAACTCACACAGCCATCGTGGGACTTCAGGGTGCAAGGAGATGGACAGATGGACAAAGAGAGAGAAAGAGGGGCAGAGACAGATGAAGAGACGGAGAAGGTCGTAGAGGAAACAGCGGGAGAAGGAAGGAAAGGCGGAGAAGGGTTAAGTAGGAGTCCGAGTTCCCAGCGGAAGACGGAGCTATCTCCTCACCAATTTAACAGGCTTGCTAGGAAACTCAGGCAGACCTTCATCCGTCTCACAGAGCACCTGAGACTGTTTTGATCTTCAAGGTGGGAGGAAGTGGAGGTTCCCTGGGAGTTTAACCAAAGAGGAAGTGACCTCACCATCTGCTCGTCATCCTATGCTCTGAAGCCCTGCCACCACCTGAGCGCTCTGTGGGCCCATCCCAGTGCACTCAGGTGGAGCTTAGTCCAGGCCCCAGTCTGCCTTCTGGAGAGTCTGATTGCATCCTTTTTGGGGTCAGCCTGTGACTCCTTCTGCTGTTCATCCCGTCTTCTCCATTTCTTCCCAGGGAGTACCTGCACTGATCCAGCTGGGGCATACTGAGAAGGGAGGCCTCTTGCCTGCACCTGGCTCTGCCCCTAAATTGAAAGCAGTTAGGCATAGGGGTCACCCACAGGGATAGTAACACAAGTGGACATTATTGTTACAGCTAGCGTTTATTGAGCTGGCCATCATACTAATCACTTTACAGGAATTATCCTACTTAATCCTCACTATAGCCCTGGGAAGTCCATAGTAGTACTATCTCATTTTACAGATAAAGGAGTAAGAAAAGTCCAAGGGCTTCCTAGGAAGAATGAAACAGAGCTGAGATTCTGACTCAGGTAGACTGAGCCTGCAGCCCATATCCCAAAGCCCTCACTAGCCCAGGGGTGGTGGCACACACCTGGACTATGACCGCTCAGCACCTGGGAGGCGGAAGGACCAGCTTCGAGGTATTTCTGAGTTATATGGTGAGCCCCTATTTCAAAACAGCAAACAAACAAAATCAGAACAAGTCAGGGGCGAAAGAACTGACTCGATGCCTAAGAGCATTGGCTGCTTCTGTAGAGAACCCAGGTTTGCTTCCCAGCACTCACATGGTGGCTCACAGCTCCAGTTCCAGGGGATCCAAGGCCCTCTTCTGTCCCCCATGGGTGCCAGGCATGTGTATAGTTCTTATACACATATACAGGCAAATACTTATACACATAAGATAAAAATAAATACATCTTAAAAAAAAGAAAAGCAAAACCGAAACCCAAATTCCTTTAGTTATACATGCATCCTTGGGAGACATTAAAATCCCAGCAGTCCCTGTATTGGGAGCCAGGTAAAGCACCGAGCAGGGTGAGCTCTCACTGAAACGGAGGAGGAAAGTGCACTCTGTGTGGGAAAGCCTGCTTGGTTGGGAAGGGGGAGCGGTGCCCTGTCTTTCACGTTGAGCACAGAATGTAGGAGGAATATAAATAACCATAGGGTCTTCACAACCCTGGTTCTTAAATTCCCTATGATCAGCTCTGGGACCTGGCAGGTGCCCACTCCCTGGGGTCATGGATGGACACCAAGAGCTTTAGTAACTCATAGCAGGCGCCCTGCCCAGCTTCTCTCCCATGCACCACCAAGCTGCTGTCAGGGCATAGCGATTTTCCATCACCTGCTGCCTCAGCTAAATCTGTATCAGTGCCTCGGGGGTCAGAGGCTCTGGTAATAAAGACAGGAACTCCACCAGCCAGTCCAGTTATCTGTGTGCCCCAGCCCCAGCCCCGGAACTCCTTAAACCAAAGCCTGTCAGCTATAAGCAGAGCCACTGCAGGCTCGCCAGACCCTGGACGCGTGTATAGTAACAGCTGCTTGGTAGAAGTCTTACCTTCTAGACTTTCTTGCAGGCGGGGTCATATGGCTGGCTCTCAGTGATCAGCCTCAAAACCTCGCCTCCACCTTCTGCTGAGAGTGCAAAGCTGTCAAAGCTCCTTTCTAGCATTCTTGTTGTGTATGTCTAACTCTGCCCTGGTCCTTCACTCCAGCCCCCCACTATTCTGCCCTGCTCTACATCATCTTCAGTCTCCTTGGCAACCTCACTCTCTTCCTCTTCTCTGGTACGCCTCTTTCCTGCCCTGAATGACCTTTCCTACACTCTGGTTAGTGGGCCATCCTGTGACTTCCACACCACAGTCATCTTTTAGAACTCCCCTCTCCTCCCTACACCTCTTGCCAGGATCGTGTTCGAGCTGTCTGGCTCAGTCACTAATGGCCACCCTTGGCACTGTAGATTAAATCCTTAGCATGGCTTCCTCCATCTACTGAGATCAGGCTACCCTGCTCTACATTGGTGCTTCCGGTGGCCACCACTGCAGCCTCCCATACTGTTCCACGCTCCTTTACCTATGAACTCCTTTCCTCTGGGCCAGCCATGCCTGCACTTGCCCACCTCACACCTCCAGAGCCAACATCACACTTTCTTCCCATGCCGTTCACTTTCCTGCATCCCTGCTCTCCACAACGACACACGCCACACAGCTTCCGCGACACGGGAGTGTTTTAGAGCCGTGCTTGACTCCAGTAAGTCGCCAAACTCTGTCCACTCTCCCTTGCTTCTTTCCCTTTGCACTCTTGAAGATGCTCCCCTTTCTTTCTTTCTTGAGACCAGCCTGTTACTACCTCATGCCGACATATTAGCTTCCTGAGATCAACCACTTTGCGTACATCCCCTCTAGTGTGAGCATTGCGCACGGCTTCAGACCTCTAAGGCTTGATTCTCACACGATGAGGGAACAATGACAAAGTAGCAGAAGACGCAGATTTTAGAGACTGAATTCAGACTCCGCTCTAACTGGTAGTACGGCCCCAAAGAAACCTTCACTGCTAAACTTTGTCAGCTTCGGTTGTCTGTCTGCAAGATGAAGACAATAGCATTTATTTCTGAAGTTGTGAAAATGAAGAGAAGTACATATGGAGTCTTATAGATTATATATGAGATTGGTGTGCAACTTTTTTTTTTTTTTTTTGGTTTTTCAAAACAGGGTTTCTCTGTGTGTAACAGTCCAGGCTGGTCTCGAACTCACTGAGATCCTCCTGCCTCTGCCTCCCAATTGCTGAGATTAAAGGCGTGCGCCGCCCCCGCCCAGCTTGATGTACAACATTTTAATGAGTGGAAATGGCTGTTTCCCTCATGGGGTGCAAGCTTCCAGCCCCATTTCCTCTCCCTCCTGTTCACACCTCTACCACTTCTGGCTGGGGGTGTTGGCGTCACCCCAGCCTGTGTTCCTCCTAGGCCTCCGCACCAAACTTCCTGCCCTCCTCCAGCACCTGTGTGTGACGTCGCCTCCCTCCATGCTCTTGTTCATCTTAGAATCATATTATTTTTTTCCCCTGGGGAAAGAGATCTTGGAGATGCTGTGTCCCTGAGAGACCTTTATTGTTCACCTGGACCAACTGAGGTACAAAGACACTAAGTGATAAATATGAGAGTACGAGGCTTTCTAATGACAGAGACAGAACCAGCACTGGCTCTGTGGTACAGCCCGGTACACTTTCTGCTATTTTCTATGCCCCTCCTGCATTCAGCTCAGCTCTGCTGTGGGTCTGTGCTAGGCTCCACCTCCTCATTCACTTCTCCCCCTGGTCCCTACCTCCAAGGGGTGGCTCTTCCTCTGGCACTGGCTGCCTCATTGCCTTGGGCTACCTGGCATCCTTTAAATATAAATCCGCCCTCCCAACTTTCCAGCACTGGGAGACAGGGTCCCAGCTATGTGCCTACAAGCAGTCAGTAAAAGCTAAAGCTGAGCTGATCCCAGCACTCAGGAGGCAGAGGCAGGGGGATCTCTGTGAGTGAGTAGGAGGCCAGCCTGATCTACAGAGCAAGTTCCAGGACAACCAGAGAAATCCTGTCTCAAAAAAAAAAGCTAAAGTTGAATGATTCATGACTCTCAACTTACTGAGATGGTAGAAGTGAACTTGGCTTTCCATAGAGAGGAGCAACACTCAGTTGGACAGGGTGGAGGGAGAAAGAAGCATTCCCCAGTCCCTGGGCTTGGTCTCTTGCATGATGGAGCTCTGTGTTTTTCTGTACTCCTGTAAGATGGGCTTCTCTTTCCTGGGAGGGTTTGATTTGTTCCTTTATTTCCCGGGGGTGCACAAGGATGACACTAGCTCTTCAACCAGTCTGGTAAAGAAGGTCTGAGTCAAAGAAGACCGTAGAAAGGAAAGGGAGGCCGTAAGCCAGCCAGATGAGGAGCAGGTGGTGTGGGGCCTGATGCCGGCAAAGGGACAAGGCGCTATGGTGGGGTTGCCTGGGGTCGGTCCAGCCCTGCCTTTGGACCTTCTCTCCTGGCTTCAGTAGATGAGGAAGCTTCTTCCCTAACTTTGGTGCTAGTTGGAAAGCCAGGCGTTCCTGGTCCCAGGCGCTACCTAAGTGTGACTGGGGAAGGAAGGTGGGCCACTAGCCCCCAGGGCAGTCCTCACCCCCCAGAAATGGAAAAGATGCTGTGGCCCACTTGACTGAGCCTTAATTCTTGCTGCCCAAACTCCACCTGCAGTTCAGCTGGAGTTCAAGGCAGGACAGAATGCAGACCACCTCTGCCCAGGCCTGTGCTAAGCGAACTGCAGAGCAGCCAGGAAAGAAACCTCCAGCCTTGCAGCAGTGGGGGAGGGCAGGAAGGCCCGGCAGGCAGGCGAGTGAGGCTTCAGCAGGCCCCTCTGCCGGGCAGGGTGAGCCTGGGCCTGGCCTGTGATGTGTAATGCTGTTGTGATGCTTTGCAGGATCATTCGGACCAAAGTTCAGCAGCCTTTCCACCCGACACCGGATGGCGCAGGGACAGGAGTGACTGCCCCTGGCCACACCATCGGTAAGAGGGCTCAGGAAAGAGGGAAATCAACTTGGAAAACACAACCCAGCCCTGGGAACTGTCCACCCCAGGGAGATCCATGGTCCCATGGTCCCCAGTCACTCCTTTCCCTCCTAGGGCCTCCCTGGTGACATTAGATCAGTGCCTCCCACATGGCCTCTCTAGTCTGTGTCTTCCTCCCCTCCTCTCCCCTTTCCATCCGCCCCGCCCCCAGCCATCCCTCAGCCATTCTCCTTTGAACATGCCTTCCTCCCCATCATCATTTATTTTATCTGATTCACTCTCCCCATGTATCTTTCCTTAAGTCCTACATTGTTTCAAATCTACTCTTTTACTTCATCTTTTTAATAACATCTTTTTTTGGGGGGGTGGGGGAGTGGACTGGAGAGATGGCTTAGCAGTTAAGAGCATGTATTGATCTTACAGAGGGCCTAAGTTTGATTCTCAGCAGCCATGTCAGGCAAGACTCATAGCCACCTGTAACTCCGGTTCCAGAGGATCTTATACCATTCTGACCTCCGTAGGCATGCATGTGCACATTCGTGCACAGATACACATAAATTTAAAAAAGTAAATCTTGCCAGGCAGTTGGTGGTGCTTGCCTTTAATCCCAGCACTGGGGAGGCAGAAGCAGGCAGATCTCTGAGTTCAAGTCCAGCCTGGTCTACAGAGAGTTCCAGCACAGCCAGAACTACCCAGAGAAACCCTGTCTCAAAAAACAAACAAACCAAAACAAAAAGTAAATCTTTCTTCAAAAAATTGTGGGGGAGGCCAGGTGGCAGTGGCCCACACCTTTAATCCCAGCACTCGGGAGGTAGAGCCAGGTGGATCTCTGTGAGTTCAAGGCCAGCCTGGTCTACAGAGCAAGATCCAGGACAGGCACCAAAACTGCACAGAGAAACCCTGTCTCGAAAAAAAAAAAATTCTGGGGGAGGAAGGGATAGAACCCATAACCTTATGCATGGTAGGTAAACACTTTTCCATGGAGTTATATCCCCAACTTTTAAAAATTTTTTTTAGTTATCTTTCTCTCTTCTCCCCATCTCTCCCTTCCTCCCCAGGCCTCTTCCCTCCCCTCATGTGTCTGGTTATAGATCTCTCCCTCTGTCTCCCTCCATCCTTCCTTCTGGCCTCTTTTCTTCTGGCCTGTTTCCTCTCATCTCTTCGTCTCTACCTCTGCTGCTCTCTGCCTCTCTGGCCCTCTTAACTTTTCACAGGCTCCCAGAGACACAACCCAGGCCTGTCAGAACACCTGCTGCAGCTTTCCAGCTCCACACCCCCAACCCGACCTCCCTGTGCACAGACAGGCACACTGACTTCTCCGTGGTTTTCTTCCCTCCTGACCAGCAGGAGACAGAAGTGACTGGATCAGCTCTGCTGGGGCTGTCAGGAGCCTTTGTTCACCAGGCCTGGGTTACTGTGCTGGAGGGAGGGGTGTGCTAAGCTATACCTGAGCTGATCATGGCACAGTGAATGTGTTCACTGGCCTGTCCCCAAGAGCGAAGTAGGAACTTCTCCGTCGATTTCAAGACCAGAAGCATATGGGAGAGAGAGAGCTGCTTCTGGGGAACGCCAGGACCAGCTTTGTGCCTCCCCAAGTGTCAAGAGACAGATCTGAGGAAACCTCAGACTCTAAATCAGGGCTGGCAAAGACTCCACCCAGGAGACTGAGAAGCAGTGAGCTGGGGTTTGTTTGGAAGGATTTGCTCAGCCTTTGGATTAGGTGGACGCTAGAAGCGTGGCTCCAGAGGGCACCCTTGGAACTGTGCTATGGAGAAGGTCACTGGAGCACTTTCTAGACAGCTCATCTTGGCAGTTTTGGGGCCTATACTACATCCATCTGAGGGGAGGGGCTTGAGGGACCAGTGTCTGCCATAGGTGGCTGAGGAGGCCTGGGTTGACTGGTCACCACTCACCTCAAGCTGGGCAGAAGTGTTAACCACCTGCACTGTCTGTCTGTGGGAGTGATTCCTCCCTCAAGCCTCCGCAGAAGGAAGGGGGTATGAGCTCCTTGTCCTTCTGCCCTCTGCTCCTCTCTGTCCCAGCCTGGGGCTTCAGTCACAACTGCTGTCCTGATGGTGTTTCCTCCTTCTTCTCCTTCAGTTCCCAGCACGGCCTCCCCTCCTGTTTCCAGCGCCTCGAATGACCCAGTGGGATCCTACTCCATCAATGGGATCCTGGGGATTCCTCGCTCCAACGGTGAGAAGAGGAAACGTGATGAAGGTAGGGAGGAGGAAGAGCTTTGGCCCCCCTCTGCATGCTTTGTCCTTGGACTCAGGGCTCCGGTTTCTGCTGGCCTCGCAGCTGCTGCGCCGTGAGATCAGTTTTAGCCGCGAAGCCTTGGTACCCCCACTGCCCTGCTGGTTCCTGAAGTGAGGGAGGGAGGCTGCTGCTGGGCCACCAGCTTCACCATCTGCTCAGCCCCAATGGTCTCACCTTCTGCTGGGACTCACCCCAGCTGTCCCCGAGGGATGCCAGGAGGAGTGGCATCAACTGTTTACCTTGAGAAGGTTGGAGAGGTTGGGGAGATAGCTGGTATCTGACCTGGGGATGAAAGGCCAGCCTACTTTGACCTCACTTGATCCCAGTTAGAGGTAGCAGGTGATATGGACATGGAGGACCCTGGGGTCCCTTCTCTGTAGCACATGGACACTGCTCCCGTTGAAAGCACTTGAGAATCTGGACATAGGGCCTCGCCATACTCTTGATCATGAGAGTGGACACCATCTGACTCCCACGTCTCTTCCTGAGCCCTCGAGGTACAGCCAGTACCTCAGATAGCACAGACCCAGTTAAGAGGAATGGGGAATTAAGAGGAGGACAGGGGATGAAAGAAAATCAGGGGAGAGATTGATAGCATAAGCATGGGACAAGGTGCTTCTCGGGTACTGTGGCACTGGTGGCGCATTGGTGGCCAGCTAGTTTTCTTCTGAGGGTGAGGCCTGGGCACCCAGATGGACACAGATACCAATATCTCAGGCCAGCTTCCTGCTCCAACTCTCTCATGGTCCCAGCTAGGGAAGTGGTAACTTCTGGTCTTTGCAGGATGTACAGGATTCTATAGATACTCTCCGTAAAACAGAACCCGCAAAGATGAACATAAAGGGGGATGTGACCATATGTTCCATTAGCTCAAGGAAGTCACAATGTATGCTGTTGTCCCTGCATCTGAACCAGGCATCGTCTCCTTCTCCCTTCAGAAAATGTCGTGTTTGGACAGTAGGCTCTGTGGTCATCCCAAGCAGAGAGACAAGCTCTTCTTGAGGGGGTAAAGAACAGAGACAGGGACAGAGATGACATTCCTTACGCTGCAGTCTGGATTCTCCAGACCCAGGCGGGGCTGGGGAGGGTGAAGAGACAGCAGAAGAGTCCTGGCCTCCAGCAGAAGGGACACAGTGCAGGAGAGACCTGGGCCTGGCAAGACAGTGATGACCTGGTGCTGGCCTCCTTCCAGAAGCCCTAATGGCCTCGCTTCACAGGGAAACAGCTTGTCTGGCTCGATTTCTCTTTCTTCCAAAATATCCAAACCATTTGGCTGCCACGGCCTTTGCCACTCACTAAATTTCATTGTGGTTGTTTTGGCGGCAGCCCCTGATGGGCAGGGGGAGGCTCCGGGAGAGGCCCTAAGCCCCGGTTCTCCCTGGGGCCTCTGACATCTAGGCCTTAGCCAAGCTCCCTGGCACCCTAAGTGCCTTGGTAGAGTCTGCCTCCAACCCTAAGGGTTTCTCTTTAGCCACCTGCCTTGTTTAGAGTGTGAGGTGTCCAGGGGGACCGGAAGGTCATGGGAACCCTTCTGTGCTCTCCCTCATTGGTCTGAGGTGGGGGCTTTGTGTGCCTTCTGCTGCCTGGGCCTTCATGGGTGGTGAAGGGAGGCGGGGGCTACCCAGGCTGGGCCAGCCAGCCAGGTCAGGAACAGAATGCTCTACCTTCCTCCTGCTCACATCCATTGTTTCCAGTCAGTTCAATTCAGTGACACCCCCTCTGCCTGTCAGCTATGAGAATAGCTTGGTACAGAAGGTCCCTGAGCCAAACAAGATGTGATTCTTGTCCTTAGGAAGCTTATACTCTAACGCATACATTAAACACTGCGTCCAGAGAGTAGGAAGGCCATCGGATATGGTGTGGTGGAGATCTGGCCAGGCCTTTATATGGGGAAGGAGGTAGGGGGGAAGCTCACTGCCAGGAAGGGCTGCTCTTTGAGGAAGGCCCTAGGGCATGGCTGAGGAGGGTGTTAAGGACAACGTCAGCCTGAAATTTCTGTCTCACGCATCAAGCCAGTGAACAGCAATGGCTGGGTGGCTTTGGCCAGGATGAGTTGAGCGGGCAAAGGGGGAACTCTGAGAAGTAAGCCCAAGTGGACAGAGTCACAGGAAGAGACCAAGACTGAGCTATGTAAGAGGACAGGCTTTTCTCTGAAAGCAGAGGTAGCCCTAAATGTATCTGGGCAGGAAGACCCAGGAGCAGGGTTGGTCTGGGGCCTCCAGCAGGGTGGCAGTGCAGGAAACAGCTGTAATCTTCAAGTGAGGGATAGTGAGAGCCTCACAGGCTCGTCTGTTAGGCCTAACCAGGTTACAAGAAGCATCAGGGACCCTGTCATTTTTTGTGGGGGTTTTCTTGCCCTCTCTCTCTCTCTCTCTCTCTCTCTCTCTCTCTCTCTCTCTCTCTTAAACCAAGCCCAGGCCAGATGGAGCTGTCCTTTCCCTGGAAGCTGGGCCTGGGAGGGACGCCAGCTTCCCCCAACCACCATCTCAGTCTTGATCCATGGGACCCAGGTGGGAGGGGAGAGGAGAGAGAGGAGAATGCAGAGGGAGGTCTGGAGGACTCCTCCCCTCCCCCACTCCAGAGGCCTCCGAGCAGCAGGGCCCAGTTTGCATTAGGGAGCAGCTCAGATGATTAAGAATGGGGAGATAATTATGTGTCAAGATGATGTAGCCCAACTCTGCAGTCAGGCCAAGGTAGCAAGCAGCTGGCAGGCCAGTCCATTGTCGTTGTCCTGTCGCAGGAGGAGCCTTGGGCATAGGCTGCACAAACCACCCAGGTGTGCCCTTCAACTCTGGGGCCAGAACTTTGGGTAAAAAGGAAACTGATCTGAGGGAGCGCAGAGCGTTGGGACGTATGTCCAGGGACTAGAGGACCAGGTCATTTTCCTCTGGGAGAGTCCTAAAGGTGTCAACTGTATTGACCCTCCTTTGACCTCAGATGTAGTGACATCTCCCTAGATTGTCTTGAGGCAAGCTGGGTGTCCCTCTGCCCTCCAGGAAGCCATTCTGGCTTCCACCTCACAATGTGGCCCATTCTTTTTTTTTTTTTTTTTTTTTTTTTTTTTTTTTTTTTTTTTTTTTTTTTTTCTGATCAAGCTGCAAATTTTATTCTCCTCAGCAAGGCTTATATAGCATGAGAGGGGGCAGGAAGGAGGGAAGGGGTGCATGACATGCCGTACGTGCAGGTGAAGGGGGACGTGCAGGTGAAGGGCTACGTGCAAGTCGTGCAAGTCGTGCAAGTTGTGAGGCTGCTAGGTGGTAAGGTCACTGGTCAGGGTGTGGCCCATTCTTTAGCTCTAACCATTGGGCACTGAGGTGGTGGGCATTAGCAAGGGTGATGACCGCAGTGTGTGCTGGCATTAATGAAGGCCTTCTCAGCAGTAGTTACTGGTGTCGCACTGGCAATAACCAGAAGGTTACTGGCATTGGCCCTTGGAATGTGGACAGCATCATGGGGATATTCATCAAGGGCTAATCAGATTTGACTCAGGGATGGGATAGGGAGATGATCTAGACTCCTTCCCAAACCCTGGCCTATGGGGAATATGCAAAAACTCAGACTTGTTTTGGAGAAATGTGGCACTCAAGAAGCTTGGACTCTCCTCCTAGGGATCCAGGACCCCAGGCAGAAAGACCAGGGAGAGATAAGGAAAATAAATATGCATGAAGCACCTGGGACCCAGGCTGTGTATCAATCCAAGGAGGAGAAATCCTCATCAATGCCCTGCTGAAAACTTCGCTTCCAACCAACAGTCATGGGCAGCTGTATTAAGAAACATAATTCCCTGAATGTTACACACCTTGGCTCTTGTGGCTGGAAACCAGAGTTGTAATAGCCTCTCTATCTTCAGACTGAGGAACTAAAGCCAGGCTGGGGGTGTGGCGAAACGGTGGAGTGCTTGCCTGGTAGGCATAAGTAACGTCCTAGGTTCGATCCCCAACCTGGAAAGAAAACAAAACCGACCACAGAAAACTGTGTCTTTTGCCCCCACCCCGACCCCCCACTCTTTTCAACCACAGCCCAGTGCACTGCTGTCCACTGGCAGTGGGGGTGAGAAGCACAGAGAAGTTTTATAACTTGCCTAAAAATCCAAATGCAGTCATATGGTGAGGGGCTGCTGATGTGTGGGAGGGAGGCGTGTTGGTACCAGCCTTGGATGGGTGGGCTTGCAGGGGGCCGTGATTTTGTATTCCATTAATTAGGTGTACAATGAGTTGTGTGACGGGGGTGGTGCCAAGCCGGCGTGGTTGTGCGTTTGCAGGCCGGACGGGTTGCCTGGCTGCAAACAGCCGAGTCCCGTCACCGCGTGAATAGCTCCCTTCCGCTTTGGATGCTGCTGGTGCTGGCAGAAGCAGATTGTTTCCTTACTGTCCCCCTAGAAGTCCCCAAGAACAGTGCTCAGGCTATGCTTGGAGCCCACAAGGGGACTGAGCTATGGACATGACCAGCACCCAGTTAGAGGCCCTAGATTGAGGCAAGAGGAGGTTTCAAAACTCCTTATCAGGAAGGAAGAAGCATGAATAAGGCCTGCCAGGGCCGAAGCCTCCGCACAGCCCTACCTTAACCGTGAACCCTGGACTGGAATCCTAGAACTCCTCAGCTGTGTGACCTTGGGGAAGTCATTTCTCTACCCCAGCTCCTTTGTCAAGTGGGGTAGTAACAACTCTTACTTTGTTTGTTTGTTTGTTTGTTTTTTGAGACAGTGTTTCTCTGTGTAACCCTGGCTGTCCTGGAACTCACTCTGTAGCCCAGGTTGGCCTTGAACTCAGAGATCCACCTGCCTCTGCCTCCTGAGTTCAGGGATTAAAGGCCTACATCATCACGACCCTGATCAACCCTAACTTCTTATGGAGGGGTTTCTAAAACATTGGTTCTCAACCTGTGGGTCACGACCCCTTTGGGGGCCAAATGGCCCTTTTGTGGGGTCACCTAAGACTATCAGAAAACATAGATTTTTTTTT